CGCTTTGAGAGCGACTCATTCTCGTCCTCTATCATGCTTCCTCCTCTGCGTTAGAGAAAAAGGACAAAGCTTTCTAGAACCCAGCATATTACAGAACCTTTGTGAAAAAAGTCACATTATTTGGATTTAAGTGTGCATATGTTAACTAATAATAATCTAGTTGTCGCTAAAAAATCGTTTCATTTAGGAATATTTAGGATATTTCATAGGCTATAGGATAATAAATTATAATAAGTTGTGAAAACAGGGCTGTTCACACAGGATGCTTTTTTCACAATTTTTTTGGCGCGCCTCCGATTAGACGTGTGGTTTTTTCAGTCTGGTCATTTTCAAACACAAAATATCTTCTCTATTTTTTGTGCAAACGTCTTAAACAAGCCAATGGCTCGATTTGTCTTAGCAAGCAGAACAATGCAACCAGAGCAATCACTGATAGACAAACGGGTACTATTTTGGGAATGCCTAGAAATAGAACAGGAGCTCGGGAAGAAAGAAGTAGCCTATGATCACCTTTTCGATGGAGGACTGTATAACGTGTATGCGTCTTCAGTAACTGAAGGAGAGCTTCGAATAGTGATCTGGTCACTGTCAAAGGTTAGATCCGTTAACGAGTTTCCCTCCTCGTCAAATCCTGCAGTCTCCATTCTGTAACAAAACATCAAGTCATTTCATTCGCAAGTAATTAACACATGCTATTACTGTGCTCTAAACATTTAAAATGCATATACTATTATGTAATAACAAAATAGTAAAGATATGTATGTAAAATTGCTTTTAAAAGTTTAGTTTGTCCAAAAAAGCGTTTTGTGGACATTTGCTTTACGACATCCGTGATCAATATTTTTTCTTATAAGCTATTATACGTTATTTATGCCGGGTAAGATCAAAGCAATATATTGTCGTGTCTTTTAAAACTATTTACTTTAAAATTGAATCAACTGTAGGCTACTTTCTACTCAAAGCACGTTACACTTTTGCCTTTTCGATTCTACGCGGAACCCGGTCTCATGAAAATGCGTATAAATAGTACGCCAAATAAAAACGAAAACCCGTGGTATTGATACGCAAAAATGGATTTTGGCGTGCATATGATACGCAGTTTTCGCGTGCATATGATACGAAATTTGTTGGCGTGCATATGATAGGCAGTTTTCGCGTACATATGATACGCATCTACCCCACAACCCTAAACCTACCCATCGCGTATCATATACACGCCAAAGTCAATTTTTGCGTATCAATACCTCGAGT